ATTATTACTTATATTATTATTACTCATTATTATTATTATTATCATTTATTATTATTATTACTATTATTATTATTATCATTAAAGAGCGAGTGAGTGAGTGAGAGAGAGAGAAATAAAGAAATAAAAATGAATCATGATACCTACTAAATGTTCTTATGATGCAATCATATATTACTATCAAAAAATGTAATACTCATCACCTGGCTCCCCCCGTCCCCTATTCCACCAATGTCTTCAGATTTTTGCTTTATATTCCTCATATTTCACCTACGAAACACCTACGCGTGATCAATTAAGTAAGAATATCAATAAGCCGTGCCTGTTTGTGATCTGTCACAATTCTTGGTCTGTTGCTTTCGTTTGTAACACAATGCACCAATGATTATAGAAGTTTGGCAGCATGAACTTCACATGATGCGTCACTTTCATATGCTTCTCCTTCAGTGCGGATTTGACTTAGAAACGCATGTGTAACTCAGAGAAAGGTGGTTAAATTGATCTCTGATTGACATGATGGTTAAGGTAATTATTTCTTAAATTATCAAACTTATCAATTTTAGATTTACTGTCAAGTGTTAATTTAGCATCGATGAACTCAGTCATACATGGAATTTGTTCATCGACAAGTTCTGCAGTTTTGGCAGAAAAGTTCAAAGAGTTTTCAGTCCGGCTGGCTCAAATCTTGCAATTTTATGCGAATGCTAAAGTGTTCAAAGCACTTCAGTATATGGTTCATTACTGAAAGAAAAGAAAAATCAACGCCATGCATATACATGAGAAAATTTGTAGATAAACTGAAAGAGAAATGCTTTTCTTTCTCTATTCATTTCGCTTTATTATCCTTCCTGTCTTGTTAACCGTGGCTTGCGGTCCAAATATATCATTTGAAGTCAATACGTCTGAGGTTGTTCAGAAATGAAGGTATAAGGACGAAAAGGATTTTAAATGTTGAACAATCCAACTCAACCATGACTAACTCAACCCACAACTTCGCTAACGTATTTGTATGCAATTTTATGTCAGATAGGGGATGATGAAATATTTAAAAAGAACTATGGACATTCCAAAAGTTTTTCAATTCTTTGGGTCGGAGAGAAATACCATTTTAAGTCAAAGAATTAGTGTCGTGTTAGTGTTATATTATTTAATCAATAATCAAACTGAAAACAGGAACTACTAGTTGGTGGGCAGAACACAGGAACTTCCTGTACGAACGATATATATAACTACAAACACTCATATATATACTACCTTTACAAATATTCATAATTTTTGAATTTTTTATGATTTTTTTCTCGAGCTTCTCCTTAAGATAAGTCTTGCTGYTTAATTTTTATACTTCATTTAATTTTTCACCACAAAATTTCGAATAATTGTTTGTCAAGTTTGTGCAACTTAACGAAAATTGTTATATAGCTACGAAATTTTCCGATATAACGAACACTCTCATTGGTTGAAAGATGATCACGTGACACTAGCTAAATCTAAATGTATCCCCACCAGGAAAWAAGTTGCACGTGACAATAATAAATACAATAAACAAGTGCACGTGATCAGAAAGTGAAAAACGCTGGTGGTGTGATATTTTGACACCAATCACAAACAACAAAGCGGAAGCATATACTTTGCCGGAAAACAAGAGAGATTTTCCAGTGAGAAAGCAAAACAACATAGATTTTCCAGTGTTTCTACAGAGAAATTACAGACTTTTATTGAGAAAAAGGATTCGGAAAATAAGAAAAAAGCGACTAAAAMTGCCGTTGCTACTGTTCTCGCTTTTTGGTAGAAAAATACAAGCTAATACAAGACCGTATGTGAGTTGTATTCGTAAAATCATGGTAAGTTTTCATGCATTTAGCTTGCTAAATAAAGTTCTCATTTCGTAAATTGACTTCTCAATATTTCTCAATTGTTATATAACAAAACACTTAATGTCTGGTCCCTCGGGAAATTAGTTAGTTTTGTTTTCCCTCGAGTCTCGATGTTTCCCTCGGCTTCGTCTCGTGAAACATCGAGACTCTCGGGAAAACAAAACTAACTATTTCTCTCGCGACCAGACATTAAGTTTATGCTATTTTTTACCAAACGCGTCTGACTTCAAGCAGAACTTTGGTAAAGCAGATATCAACCGTTTGTATTTCGGACTAAACGTTTTCAACCAAATGATTTTTCAAGAACAAAATGCTTCAATGCATACGAAGGTCTCGCGAAAGGATAAACATGGGTCCAATATTGGTCCAATATTCCAAGGATATTATCATGATATTTACTGTCATGATCGATTTATAAAATTATAACTTACATTGCCTAGAGTCTAGTTTTGAAAACCTTACGGTTCCTTTAGCCTCTAGTCATTTCCTTGAATGTAAAGCATTCTTTTTCTCATGATAGATAATAATGTAAATTAAAACTAAATTAGAAAAAAAATGCACTTATGTATATATAT